CTTCATAATACTCAAAGGAAGAATCCACCAAGAAGACATAAACATTGTAAATATATATGCACCCAACATAGGAGAACCCAAATATATAAAGAAAATCTTGGAGGACTTCAAGAAAAACATAGACAGCAACACACTTACAGTAGGGGACTTTAACACCTCATTATCAAAAGTGGATAGAGCTTCCAAAAGAAATATCAACAAGGATACTGAGGCACTGAACAATGCCCTAGATCAAATGGACTTAACTGATATATATAACAATCTTACATCCCAAAGAAGCAAAATACATCTTCTTTGCAAACGCACATGGAACATTTCCAAAGACAGACCACATGACAGGACACAAAACAAGCCTCAACAAATTCAAGAAAACTGAAATCATATCAAGCATTTTCTCCAACTACAAGATACTGAAACTAGAAACCAACTTCAAGGAAAAAAACTCAAAAACATGGAGATTAAATAGCATGCTATTAAACAATGAATGGGTTAACAACGAAGTCAAGAAAGAAATCAAAAAGTTTCTGGAAACAAATAAAAATGAACTCACATCAGTCCAAAACATATGAGACACAGTGATGGCCGTTCTGAGAGAGAGGTTCAAAGCAATACAAGTCTACCTAAAAAAAGATAGAAATTTTTTCAAATAAACAACCTAACCAAATAGCTAGAAGAATTGCAACAATAAACAAAGCCCAGAGCAAGTAGACAGAAGGAAATAAACAAGATCAGAGCAGAATTAAATGATATAGAGACTAAAAACACAATTCTAAGCATAAATAAATCCAAGAGTTGGTTCTCTGAAAAGATAAACAAAATCAGACTCATCAAGAAAAAAAGGGAAAGGACCCAAATGAACACAATCTGAAATGAAAGAGGAGAGATTACAACTGATACCACAGAAATACAAAGGATTGTAAGAAATTGCTATGAAGAACTATATGCCAACAATTTGAAAACTTGAGTGAAATAGACCAATTTCTACACAAATATAATCTTCACATATGAATGAAGAAGCACAAAGCCTGAACATACCAATAACAGCTGACGAATAGAAGCAGTAATCAAAGAACTCCCCCCACACAAAAGCCCCAGACCAGATATTTTCACAAGAATTTTACAAAACACTGAAGGAAGAGCTAACCCCTATCCGTCAGACTACTCCAAAGAATCTGAGAAGAAAGACTCCCAAACTGTGTTTATGAAGCCAGCATCATCCTAATATCCAAACCAGACCAGATAAAGACACAATAAAGAAGGAAAACTACAGGCCAATATCACTCATGAACATAGATACTAAAATCCTCAACAAAATATTGACAAACCACACCCAGCAATACATTGAAAAGATCATATACCATGATCAAGTGGAGTTTATCCCAGGGATGCAATGATGGTACAATATTCACAAATCAATAAATGTAATACATCACATAAACAAAACGAAAGATAAAAATCACATGATCATATCAATAGATGCGGAAAAAAACATTTGATAAGGTACAACACTCATTTATGCAAAAACACTCAGCAAAGTGGGAGTACATGGAGCATTCCTCAACATAATAAAGGCCATATAGGAGAACCAACATCATACTCAATAAGAAAAAACTAAAAGCTTTCCCAGTAAGATCAGGAACAAGACAAGAATATCCACTTTCGCCACTTCTATCCAACACAGTATTGAACGTCCTAGCCATAGCAATCACAGAAGAAATTAAAGGCATCCAAAATGTAAAGGAGGAAGCAAAAAAGTCACTGTTTGCAGATGACATGATAGTACACATGCAAAATGCTAGACTCCATCAAAAAAACTACTCAAGCTAATAAGTAAATCTGGCAGGACAGTGGAATGCAAAGTCAATATTCATAAATCAAAGACATTTTTGTACACTTTACAATGAAAGATCAGAAACAGAAATCAGGGGAAAAAAATCCATTTGATATAGCAACAAGAAAAATCAAGCACCTAGGAATAAACCTAACCAAAGAGGTAAAAGAACTGTACTCAGAAACTACACAACACTGAAGGAAGAAATTAAGGAAGACACAAACAAATGAAAGCATGTACTGTGGTCATGGATTGAAAGAATTAACATCATCAAAATGTCCATACTGCCCAAAGCAATTTATAGATTCGACTCAATCCCTATTATACTACCAGTGACATATTTCACAGATATAGAACAAACCTTTCAGAAATTGATATGGAACCATAAATGACCCCAAATAGCTGCAGCAATTCTGAGAAAGAACAACAAAGTTGGAAGGTTCACATTACCTGGCACCAAACTTTATTACAAAGTCACAGTAATCAAAACAGTCTGGTCCCTGGCTGATGTAGGTCAGTGGATTGAGCAAGGGCCTGGGAAGCAAAGGGTCGCCGGTTCAATTCCCAGTCAGGGCACATGCCTGGGCTGCAGGCCAGTTCCCAGCAGGGGACGCATGAGAAGCAACCATACATTGATATTTCTCTCCCACTCTTTCTCCTTCCCTTTCCCTCTCTCGAAAAATAAATAAATAAAATATTAAAAATTTTAAAAAATAAAAATAAAAATTAAAAAAGTCTGGTACTGGTACAAGAACACATACATAGATCAAGGGAACAAAACAGAGATCCCAGAAATAAACCCAAGTCTATATGGTCAACTAATATTCAAAAAAGGAGCAAGAAGCATAAAATGGAATAAAAATACCCTCTTCAACAAACAGTGTTGGCAGATCTGGACAGCTACATGCAAAAAAGTGAAACTCAACCACCAACTTACACCATACACAAAAATAAACTCAAGATGGAAAAAAGACTTAAATATAAGCCACAATACCACAAAAGTCCTACAGGAAAACATACAGTAGAAAATCTCAGATATTCCATGCAAGAATATTTTCACCAATATATCCCCCCTAACAAGGACATAACAGAATATAAAGAATTCACACAACTCCACTCCAGGAAGACAAACAACCCAATTAAAAAATGGGCAAAGGACCTGAATAGACATTTCTCCAAGGAGGACATAGAGAGGGCCCAGAGACACATGAAAGAATGCTCAACATCACTAGCCATCAGAGAGACACAAAAACACAGTGAGATACCGCTTCACACCAGTCAGAATGGCCATCATAAACAAATCAACAAACAGCCGAGTGCTGGCGAGGCTGTGGAGAAAAGGGAAGCCTAATGCACTGTTGATGGGAATGCAGACTGGCACAGCCACTGTGGAAAACAGTATGGAATTTCCTCAGAAAACTAAAAATGGAACTGCCTTTTGACCCAGCAACTCCACTGCTGGGACTATACCTTAGAATCCTGAAACATCATTTCAAAAGAACCTATACATCCCAATGTTCAAAGCAGCACAATTTACAATAGCCAAGTATAAGAACCAACCTAAGTGCCCATCAGTAAACGAATGGATCAAGAAACTATGGTACATTTACACGATGGAATACTACGCAGCAGAAAGAAAGAAGGAGCTCCTACCCTTTACAACAGTATGGATGGATCTGGAGAGCATTATGCTAAGTGAAATAAGCCAGATAGTGAAAGACAAATACCATATGATCACACCTATAAGTGGAAATTAATCAACAAAACAAACAAGGAAGCAAAATATAACCAGAGACATTGAAATAAAGAACAAATTGACAATAACACCAGAGGGGGAGTGGGAGGCGATAATAACAAAACCAGAGGGGAAGGGCTGTTAAGGAACATGTATAAAGGACACACAGACAAAGCCAAAGGTGAGTAGGATGAAGGGTGGGAGGTGGGGATGAATGGGGTGGGAGAAGTGGTGGGGGCAAAATGGAGAAACTATACTTGAACATCATTTAAAAAAAAGACAAATAATCCTCTTAAAAATGTGGAGAAATTAGGAAGTTGTATACAGTTGATACACTGGATAAAATGGTGCAGCCTCTACTGAAAACCATATGATCCATCCATCTCACTTCTGCAGACATATTCAATAGAACTGAAAACAAGATCTCGAAGATGTATTTGCACACCCATGTTCATTGCAGTCCTATTCAAAATAGCTAAAAAGTAGAAGCATTCTACATCTCCACCAACAAATGAATATAGGGTCTTCCAGTCAAGATGACAGAGTAGATATACAATTTACTCACCTTCTCTCACAATAACATGAAAATGACAGCTAAACTAAACAACAACCATCACTGAGAACTGCCTGAAGTCTAGCTGAACAGAAGTCCTTTAACAAAAGATACAGAGAATAAGCCACATCAAGACTGGCAGGAGGGGCAGAGATGTGAAATGAGCTAGTCTGTAGTTAACAATATTGAAATAACTATGTATGATATCAGATGCATACTAGATTGATTTATCTGGGTGACCACTTACTTTGTACTCGTAGTTATACAAATATCTAGCACTATGTCACACACCTGAAACTAACATAATACTGTATGTCACATGTAACTGAAAAGTATTAAAATACAAATATATAGAAAATGTGGTATATACACACAATGGAATATTAAACTGATAAGAACAGACAGCACACTTGAACTAATCCAAAAGGTCAAGAAGCAACACACAATGGAATATTATTCAACCTTTAAAAATTTAGGAAATCTGGGCCTGCAAACCAGAGTATCGTGGCTGGATTCCCAGTCAGGGCACAGGCCTGGGTTGCCGGCCACTTCCCAGCAGGCAACCATACATTGATATTTCTCTCTCTCTCTCTCCTTCCCTTCCCCTCTGAAGATAAATAAATAAAATCTTTTAAAAACTGTTTAAAAAACTTAGGAAATCTGCCCTGGCTGGTGTGGCTCAGTGGATTGAGTACTGGCCTGCAAACCAGGGCGTTGCTAGTTCAATTCCCTGTGTGTGCACATGCCTGGGCTGCGGCCAGGTCCCCTGTGGGGGGAGCACAGAAGGCGGCCACACATTGATATTTCTCTCCCTCCCTTTCTTCCTCCATTCCTCTCTGTCTAGGAATAAACAAAATCTTTTAAAAAAATTATGAAATCTAACTCTCTCAGCTCTACATAAACAAGTGACACTTGTTTGCACAGGTGATTGGGAGATAAAGGATCTCCTCGGGACCTCAGGTTGGCCTCACAGTGGCTAGTCTTTCCTAAAAGGGTGCAATAGGGCCTAAGATAAGGGGAAAAAAATAGGAAATCTTGTAATTTGCTACAAACATAAACCCACCTGAGACATTATGCTAAGTGAAATAAGTCAATAACAAAAAGACAAATAATGCATGATTTCACTTCCATGCAGAATCTAACATAATCAAACTCATAATAACAGAAAGCAGAATGGGGACTGACAGGAGCTGGGGCTCCAGAGAAAAAAACAGAAGCTGTTCAATGGGTACAGAGTTTCAGTCAGGCAAGATGTAAAAATTCTGTAAGTTATCTGTAATACAATGTGTACATAATTAACGAAAATTATTGAGGATAAATTTATGTGATTTTTTTTACAGTAAAAAAGTAGGTGTGCTGGTGTGGCTCAGTGGATTAAGCACAGGCCTGCAAACCTAAGGGTCACCGGTTTGATTCCCAGTCAGGACAACTACCTGAGTTGCTGATCAGGTCCCCAGTATTGGGTGCACAAGAGGCAACCAGACATCGATGTTTCTCTCCCTCTCTTTCTCCCTTCTTTATCCTCTCTCTTAAATAAATAAGTAAAATCTTAAAAAAAAAAAAAAGTGCAGAGTAGGCACAACTGGATTTATCCAGCATTAAAATTTTATCAACTAAGCAATGAGGAAGGCAGAGGGTGTTGAAAATTTTTGCAACTAAACAATTATGACTGACCACAGATTTTAAACCGAGTAAGAAGGGTAAGGATATATAAGATGTGTGGTACGAAACAGTGAAAAGGTAACAGATCAATGGGTAATAGGTCCCGGCAAGGAAAAAGGACTTTTTGTACTAGAAGGCATGAACGGGAAAGGTGACAAGTGATTACCAGAAAGTAAGGTACTAGAAATTGAAATTATGGAGGGGGTTACAGTTACTATAATTCAATATAATACAACAATAAGCATACTATTATTGTGTAACAAATCTGCATATGAAGGAGAGTGGAGGACACTGGAGATGGTCAAGAAACCAAGAGCCATGAAGGCAGTGGAGGAATCACCCAAATGGATAATGAGACTATCAAGAATTAGAATAAAGCAGTACTGGAGATGGTGGGCAACACAGGAGAAAGTCTTCATGGGGCAAGAGTAACAAAGACAGAGTAAGCCAAAGTTCCATGGAAAACTTCAAGGAGCAGTACTCGGTGCTACTGTCTGATGCGGAGATTTTAAATCATGTTTTTTTGTTTGATGTTAAGTAATGTGGGAGGGAGGGTGCTGTGGAAGTAGCAAAGAGGGGCAAGGAGGATAACCCATCACCAGGTTCAAAGGAGAAGCAGTCAGAAGAGAAAATTCCACCACCTAAGTAGAATGCAAAAGAATCAGTCCTCCAGAGTAAATTTTCACTTGCAGCAGTTCTCATAAATTTCAGGAGGTCCTTGAACTTAGGTGGGAAAAAATTACATCTCTGGTTTCACTAACCTCTAACTCAAATTTAAACTCAATTATTTAATTATGAGAGTAGGGAAAACCCATCCTAGTACTAGCAGTATCAGTAACTTTACCATCAAAAGAAATTGGGTATTTTTATCAAATTATGATGTTGCAGAAAACTCAAAGTATTACTTTTCTTATCATTATTTTTAAGAAAGGGCAGTTAAAACCCACCACTGGGTTACTTAATGAGTTAATAAAAGAACATAATGCCATATATAAAAAACTTTAATGACTTTATAATAGCAGATTTCAATACAGTTGGTTTCGTTTATAATCCAATGTACTTTATTTTATACATTTAAAAACATCAGTCTTGAGAATAGGGACACAGACTGTCCAAAAACTTAAGAACACTTGAGAGCAAGAAAGTAAATAGAATGGTCAGAAAAAAAGGCACAATAAAAAGGCTGCAGGGTTAAAAGCAGTGGGAGAAAAGGATCTCTGCAAAGAGACTATACAGAGTCTAGTGGGGAATAAAGTTCAATATGAGGTTAAAAGGAATGAAGAAGATAGAGAAAACATCAAGTGAACAAGGCAGGCTGCAACACAGCTTGATTCCATGATGTCATTAATATAAAACACACAAATAATGAAAATATATTTTTGTAAAATTTTAGAAGGTTATATAATGTAGCAACATTATGAATAAGAATTACCAATGAAATAAATAAAATCTGACTTCCGGCCAAGATGGAGGCGTAGGTGGAAACACTGTGCTTCCTCGCACAACCAAGTTTAAAGACAACAAAGTTTTAGTAACAAAAACGTAGCCAAAACACAGAAAATTGAACTATATGGAAGTCCAACAACAATGAACCGTTCAGCCAGACCAGTAGGAGGGGCAGAGCCAGCGGTGAAGCAGGGTTTCGCAGGAAAACGTCGCCAGACTGATCCAGGCATAGGTGGCAATTGGCGGATCCCTAGCAGACCCACTGAGGGCACAAGGCAGCAGGCTGACTGAGGTCACACATTCACGCACAGATAAACCAGTGAAGGAGCGAGCAGTGAGACAGACCATGCAGGCCCCAGCGGGGGGACCGCCACTGCCCCTCTTTGACCCTGCCCCCACATACAGCGTTACAACCCAGCAACTGGGTCACCACGCCCTGGTGAACACCCAGGGCTCTGCCCCTCATACGTAACAGGCGCGAACAGACCAAAACATGGCTAAAGAAGAACTCAAAGCCCCAGAGCCAATAACTCTAAGTGACCAAGAAATAGCCAACCTATCAGATGCACAGTTCAAAACACTGTTGATCAGGATGCTCACAGAACTGATTGATTTTAGTCACAAATTAGAGGGAAAAATGAAGGCTAAACTAATTGAAATGAAGGGAAATGCACAGGGATCCAATAGTGATGGGAAGAAAACTGGGACTCAAATCAAGGGAGTGGACCAGAAGGAAGAAAAAAAATGACCAAACAGAAAAATATGAAGAAACAAGAATTCAAAAAAATGAGGAGAGGCTAAGGAACCTCCAGGACATCTTTAAATGCTCTAACATCCAAATTATAGGGGTACAAGAAGGGCAAGTGGAAAACTTATTTGAACAAATAATAAAGAAGAATTTCCCCAATCTGGCAAAGGAAATAGACTTCCAGGAAATCCAGGAAGCTCAGAGAGTCCCAAAGAAGTTGGACCCAAGAAGGAACACACCAAGGCACATCATCATTACATTAGCCGAGATTAAAATCAAGGACAGAATCCTAGAAGTAGCAAGAGATAAGGGGACAGTCACCTACAAAGGAGTTCCCATCAGACTGTCAGCTGAGTTCTCAAAAGAGACCTTACAGGCAAGAAGGGGCTGGAAAGAAGTATTCCAAGCCATGAAATCCAAAGACCTACATCCAAGATTGCTCTATCCAGCAAAGCTTTCATTTAGAATGGATGGGCAGATAAAGTGCTTCTCAGATAAGATCAAATTCAAGGAGCTCATCATCACCAAGCCCTTACTATATGAAATGTTAAAGGGACTTACCTAAGAAAAAGAAGATAAAAAAGATGAACAGTGAAAGGACAGCAAACTCACAGTTATTAACAACCACACCTGAAACAAAAGCAAACTAAGAGGACAGCTAGATCAGGAGCGGAAACCATAGAAATGAAGATCACATGAAGGGTTAGCAACAGCGGAGTGGGAGGAGGAGAGGGGGGAGAAGGTACAGAAAATAAGTAGCATAGACAGTAGGTAGAAAATAGATAGGGGGAGGGCAAGAATATTATGGGAAATATAGAATCTAAAGAACTTGAGACATGTGGTCATAAACTAAAGAGGGGGAATGGTGGAGGGGGTGTACAAGGTGGAGGGGAATGAAGGGGGGAATAGAACAACTGTAATGGCATAATCAATAAAATATATTTTTAAAATAATTACCAATGAGAAGTAAACTGGGAAGGGAGAAGAGAAACAAGATGGAAGAAAAGAAGGTTTGCCTTTTTGTATTGAATTGTTTACTGCAAGCATGAATTACATTGTTTAAAGTTATTTTTAGGGGAATCCCTTTCTAATTTCCTTAGTATATTCTTTGGAGGACACTAAGGGCTAGGCCTCTAACTCCCCAGAGAACTCCTTTCAAGGAATGTTGCCCAAAGCAAACATTTTTATAGCAAGGTGAGATGGACATCAGAAGAAATATCAATAGTTTTGGCTATTTGGGCTGTCATGAACAATCAACCTTGTGTTAGCCCTTCAAACATTTGACTTTTGTGTTGAAGCAAACAGGAAACTTGAAGCTTCTTCTGGAGCTCTCTCGACTATGTCTGGGACAGGAAACTGCCAAGCAGGCCAGGATCAATAGACATTTCTTATAGTGTAATCTAAATACTTCTGAAAGTGAACGGCTATTGCTGGTATATAGAGAACCCACTAGCATTTTCATTCATCATTTATATAACCATTTTTTACTGAACACATTTTATAGTTTTCCAAGTTTGTCAATTGATTCTCGGTTTTTCTAGGTAGATTATGTGCCCTACAAAGAGTGTATATGCAAGAGTGTATAAATTTTGACTTTCCCTTTCAAATATTTACACTTTTTTCCCTTCGGCCTCTCTTTTTCCACTGGCGAGAACCAGCAGTTAAATGTTTAACAGCATTAAAAACAAGTATTCTTTTTTTTCATAGCAAATACTTAACAACTGGGCTTACTATAATATGCCTTAGGTAATTTTACCCCTTGTCAGGTTGTGCAAGTTTCATTCTTTTCCTAAACTTAATCTATGAGAAATAGTTACTGAATTTTTTCTATTATCTTTTTTGTCAGCTGAAATGATTATACTGTTTTTCTCTTTTGATTATTAATGCAGTGTAACTGGAACTAACGGATTCCCAAAGATCAAATCATCCTTGACTCCCTGGTCTAGCTTTACCCTACAGTTTTTATATACTATTGGATTTGGTTTGCTGTTATTTTATTTTGGATTTTACAATTAGGTGATAAATGAGAATAGCCTAGTGTTTTCTTGTGTTATCCTTTTTTCTAGAAGAATTTGCTAGTTTTGAAGAGCATCTTTTCTCTTGCATTTTCTTTCTTTCCTACAGAAATGTGTAACACAGGAACCATCAA